TATTCTTAGAAACTAGTGGAGTCGGTTTTTACAAGCATGTCTCACACATACAGAACTGTAACCTTTTTTAATGGATTTTAGTAATTTTAAGGTTCTTGAAGGACATCTTTTCATTGCTTAAAGTGTTCTAAAGAAATACTGTTTCTTTCAGACTTTATAAATATAGCACTTCCAATAAAAACATGTAAACTTTATTTTATTGTGTCAAATAGAATATACGGTTTTATTTATTCCGTGGTTCTTGAGTCTTGCCTAAATTTTTATCTTTTATATATACAGAGATCATAAAGCTCTCCTTCCTGTGCTATCATGTTTCAAATAAATATATTATTTGTATATCTAAATAGACTCAGTTTTGAGAACTTTGAGTATCTTTTTTTGTACCTGTTGATATCGAGTAGTGCGGATAGTTTGCATGGGGTTCCTTTGTTTTACAAACACGTTAATCAGAGCAGAGTTAGTTCAGTCGATAAAACTATCAGAAAATGAAAAAAAAATTATTATAATTTATTCATTACATAATAAAGGTACATATTTGTAGTTATAATTGATTTAGTCTTCAATAGTGTCTTGAATTATATACATTTATTGTTCTTTCGACGTTGGTCTTTCAGATAAAGAAAACCTCAATTCAGATTGAAATCTTAGCTCAGATTGAATAAATTTTATATTTATGTTTTTTTCTTGAGATTGGTATGTCGCAGGGGCTATCGCACCTTAGCCGTATATGGCCACAATAATATACTTACATTTGAACAAAACTTCCGAATCCAATAATTCTGAAAAGTCTACAAAGGTATTGAATATGAATTAATTTATTTTGAAAAGCATAAATATCAAGGTAGAAAACGCAAGGTACAAAAAGGCTGAACGCGATCACAGGATAAGCGCGTTCTAACAAACAAAGGAATTCTTAGAAAGATAATAATTCTTACGTTATTTCAGTATTAGGTCACCAGAATCAAATAATTCCGCTCAATCAACACAGTATATTGATAAAGACTGTGTAGGTTATATCTAAAAATAATTCATTATAATTTACTTCTAGCTTGTCTTAATGTATACAAATCGTTTTGGATACAAAGAGATATAATAATTTAGATAAATATGATATAACTATTAATTAAACTGATTCAAAACCAAAGTTAATTGAAGCAACAAATACTCATTGAAAATAGGCCTGGAATTGATTAATAAATATACAAATATTGAATTCTGTACGAGTGTACAGAATGTATGTCACTGAAATCCTCCTTAAAAACTGGGCCTATCTTAACATTTTTTGTACTTATTTGGGTACCATCACATATGGTTAAGACTCACAAAACAGATCGGCAGATAGCACCACAGACGCTATCTGGATTATTTAATATGAAGAGGCTGTAATGTGGATAACTTTATATATTATTTCACACACTCTATACATTTTTCTCTGAGAATAATATATTTAATACATCAATCAATTTTGTTACGTGTTTGACTGATAATGAAGCTTTGTTATCATACGTTGTGATTTAGAAAATAAGATTATTGCTCAATATCTTTATGTGTGAGAGCTATTGCTATTCCAGAATTAAAGTCTCAATGTGTAATCTGATGAGTTAATATAAATACATCGATGAAAATTAAAACATTGAAAATGTACTTTGATTGAAGTATATTTTTTTACATAAAATTGTTAAATATTTAACAGACGCGCCTCACAGTCGGTTATATCGAAATTTCTAGAACAGTTTTTCTGTATCAAAAATGCTATAAATATATCAAACGACATTCACGATGAATATTTTATAAATATTACGTTTTGGTAATTTAATAACGAAGTTTATATTTTTATTAAGGGAATTTCAAAGAAAAAAATAATTAATAATAAATAAACATATGCCTAAAAGCTATCCAAGAAAAAGGACATTTTTTTAACAAAATAAACATAGAAATTTTATCCGTTTTTATATGAAAAGACTATTGAAAATACATTTCAATGGATACAAAATTGTTTCGTATTAAACATCGAACTTTATATGGAACAAAGGAATTATCGTATTCACTGTGCAAGTCTTTAAGCGCATGCAAATCGAATAAGTAGACTCCTTGTTCACTGACCTATTTAGATATTCATATTACGAGGATATAGCACGAAGGTTTTATATAATCTATAATTATTAACACAAAGGCGGTAAAAGAACTTTATAAAATCTTTACACTTATAACAGTACTATACATAATTATAATGTCTCTGACGAATTGAATAAAACGTATTACTTATTTGTCGTGGTGTAGTGTAAATATATATTTTTGTCCACATTGCCATGAGATCATCAAATAATCTCTCATAAGCCGACAGACGGAAGCACGTCCCCTGTCCAGTGACAGATCTTCAGCAGGCTTGAGTTATTTCACTTCGTAGAACCGATTTATCAATCAAGTGGCGTTACTACGATATTGTATTTTATATATCGACTTAATGTACGATAAGATTTTATAAATGTAAGTCCATTATATATATTATTTATATGATTGAAGATGAAATTACTTGAAGTCAAGCGTCAATACTGTAGGTATGAACATTTTTTTCTCTATTAATTCAAGCTCAACTAAGATTGGTTTTATGACAATAATATATTTTGGTAATTTGTTAATTCTGTAAGTATTCACCAGCCCCAATGGATACTTCCTCATCCCTGTGCGATCAATCAATCAGACGGAGACAAGTTGACTAAATGAATAAAATATAGCACACTTTGCAAAGGGTTCGTAATTCATGTTTAAAAGCTTAGTCGTAATTGATTTTATTCTTCTCTCAGCTTTAGGGATACTGATTATATTTATTATATATTAATTCTGGATAAAATATATTATTTTCATTGTATGTAATATATGACACGTTTAAACTAAATATTGTTTCCTATTAAAGTTTTCAGTGTATCCAGGAAGAGAATATTTGTGAAAATTTAAGTAAAATATGTATATGTATCTAGTCTGTATGTAAATACTGTAAAAATTAAAAATAGCCCAAGTATAACTAATGAATTATAGTCCTTGATTTTTGACATTATACTGGGTGGCGCAAAAGTAAAGACCCTATTTGGTTCAGCTATAACATTTTTTCTAAATGAGAAAACTAGATTTAGGTTTTTTTTTTTTAATGTATATTTGTGCCATTAAATTTCGTACCATTAGGATTTAAAGATGATGTCTTTTAAATGGTGACCTCCAGAGTTGATACACATTTGAGCCCTATTTATGACATTTTGCATAACTTGCCGTAACACTTCCTGCGATATGTTCGTTATTTCTTGACGAATGTTTTCTTTTAGAGCTGCGAGAGTCTGTGGCTTGTTCACATACACCCGAGATTTCAAAAAACCCCAAAGACAGAAGTCTGGACTGGTCAAATCGGGTGATCTTGCAGGCCAAGGCAAATCGCCAAAACGAGAGATAACTCGGCCTGGAAAAGCGTCCCTCACTAAGTCCATAGTGTCGCGCGCTGTGTGTGCCGTAGCGCCGTCTTGTTGAAACCAGATGTAACTTTTAGTGGGTGTAGAGGTGTTTCTTGAATAATGCGCGCATTATCAGTGCCCCAGAACCGAGTATTCTGCTTATTGACATGCCCTGAGAGATGGAAATGCGCTTCGTCACTCATAACCAATTTTGTATAACCAAATATATTTTTTAAAGTTTAGATAAGATATTAGTCAAATGTAAGTGTATTGATAGGTACAATGAAATCACATCTGTTTGAAACACAAAAATATCTGGCCATTTACCTAGTGTTTATATTTAAACGAATGAGACAATTTTAATCTACAAGCGAAAGAATTTGAAGAACGCAAAAATATTAACAGCACATAGAAACAAGTCACGTTTTTCAATTGATTACTTAAGGTTTGCCTTCAAGAGATGCACTGGTTAATAAAGGATAATTTATAATAATAAGCAGTACCAAAATTTTGAAATAATTTTACTTAGATAAGCTTCTTAATAAAGCCATGTTCAGTAAACAATAACGATTTTTTCAGGACGACTGGAGCCGAAACAATAAGACTGTATCCACTGAATCTTGTACTAAAATCGGTTTTTCGTAATGAGTAATTATTTATCAGTTTAATTTAATAATCATTGTGAAAAAATTGCCTTTAAGATTATTGAATTAAGATAATTATTTAGTTAAAAATTCCTTTGTTGATCTGCTTCTTAATAGAAGCAATGTTTTGTAATCAGAAACGCGGAATTATCCAATATTAATAACGAGGATTTGCACTATCCAACAAGATATTTATTTTGATACTTTAAAGATATATTTTATATAGTCTTGAAATAGGAGTTAGTTTTTCAAGTACACTGATCTCATGAAAGATTTCATATAAAGTTCCACCTTACACAAACAAAACGCCTCGGAATAGTCAACAATACAAATAATCACCTAAGAACCTTGAATTCTTCACATATCTCAATAAGTTGACGGACTTGGGTAATTAGCTCTAGAACCTTGACCCTTATCAAAGCTTGTCTGCTTATCTGATTTTGTTTTTGCTGATATGCCCTTAGACGTCCGATGAACTTACCATCATCGGAATTGAGTCACTTTTAATACAATTCTTCTTATAAAGAGGTTCTAAAAGAGACTTGCTTCAATACCTATATTGCCTTCCTTTACATAGGTCAGTGTACAAAAAGATTATTTGTCATCTACGTACAGTTCTTCATAGTATTGGCGTAATCGCTAGAAGTGGAGATAGTCTAATGATTAGATTTACTGCTTTGCTTCAATATATACCTTTGTCATATAAAACCTTTTACGTTCATTAACAGATCGTTGAAGTATCAAGTTTGAGCTTGATCTTTAATATCCTGGCTCATGCCACTCAGATGTTGATTATATTAATTAATATATACGCTAGAATTTTAATAATTACTTAACTTCACGTTTGAATTGGCCTTTCCTCGTCTATGATTTTAGTAAAACCCTTTTATCTAAATTAGATGCAGGCGTCATAAAGATGTTGAAGTTGTGGCTCGGGCTCGCGCTAACGGCTGACTCATCGGCTTTATTCAGGGATCGTAATAGTTTTGGGATGAATCTAAAAAGACCATCGGAGCTCTACAAACACCTAAGAGTTTCCAAGAGACATATCCTGGGAAAATCCCATGATGACGTCGTTACATCACTCCCAAAAGACAATGATGCCCCAGAGCTAGAGTCACGACTTCAATTCCATAAGCAATTTATGATAGGAGCGCAAAGTAACAGAGCGGGGTTAGGATCAAATAGGAAAGTCCAAGATGCGGATATATTGAAGTCTTTTATTCGGCAAGACGAGAATGATAAATATAAGATCCATGCAATGAATTTAGAAATGCAGAACGAGTGGTTAGACATAGGAGATTTTTGCATCCCATTAGCATTAAAATGGCGCACTTTAATTTATGATTGGTCGCCAGCCTTGCTAAAATTTTATCTCAATGCGTTCCAGATGACTCTCCCAGATCAGAGTAATTTAGTAAGATGGGGTAAAGGTACCGAAAAAACTTGCTATATCTGTGGAAAGGCAGTTGGAACTGCCAAGCATTTGCTGGTGGGATGTAGGGTTCTCCTGGACAGCGGTCAATACTCGCGTCGTCACGATAGGGTTTTAGAGATCATACGTGAAGCGGTTAGTCTTTCGGTAGCCAGAGCGCAAAGGGAAATAACCACAAACGAACGATCAGTAGGTTTTGTGAGAGAAGGCACTAGGGCTACAAAATCAAACGTCAAGCCTTACTCCATCCTTAAAGCGGCGTCGGATTGGACTATAATGATGGACACGTATGAAAAACAATATAAAATCCCCGAGGATATTTGTGCGTCGGCCTCCAGACCGGATATATTTTTGTTTTCGCGAATTTTAAAGCGCGTAGTGATGATAGAGCTTACGGTCCCTTGGGAAACCAACATCCCCAAAGACCATACCATCAAGGTCAACAAATATTACGAGCTCACTAACGAACTAACTCGAAATAGGTTCGTCGTTGATTTGTACGCGGTAGAGGTGGGAGCGAGAGGTATAACAGCTAAATCTCTCTATAACCTACTAAAAGACTTGGGCCTGTCCAGAACTAACATTAATTCATTCTTAGAACGTACGTCGAAGGCAGCCCTAGTAGGTTCTTTTCAAATTTGGTTAGGTAGGGAGAGGAGCTTGGACAGTGGAGGTGAGCGTATAACGCGCGTTAGTTAAGGGGCCCCTTAAACCTACACTTGGTTCGCAAGTCCCAGGCACTGTTGAAGCTCCTCTCCCTGCAACGCGATGGACCCGGCACCCGCACGGTGAATCCATGGAATGCTGAGTAGTTTCGTCTCATACTTATCGTGTTTAAATCTTTCTTTGGCCACAATATGTCTTTGTAATTGGAGCTACCGTTTCAGCTTCTACATACTTTAGACCTTAATTGTCATTACAACTGAGAGTAAAATTCTTTTAATTTATGTGTACTGACACTATTATCAGGTTTTATACGAGCAGTATGGTTATTTGGACTTTCAATAAAAGATATAAGTGAATGTATCCAAGTCATTGCTAACTGAAGTATTTGATATTTGGTATAAAATACTCGATTCATAAAAAGCGTGTTTTTGTGCAGTATTGCAACTACATTTCATATCATTCATTTCTATTTCGGACGCTATATTTTTCCACAACCATCATATAAGTGGTCATCATTTCATTTATCTAACAAAGTGATCTTAAAATTAAACTCATATAAGGCAAATTTCTTTTTTTGTAGATAATTTGTGATTAAATTAATACACTTAAAATTTGCAGTACACACAATAATCTAAATGAATTTACAAAGTTTTATAATATTTTTTTAATATGTAGGTAATTAATGCTTATATAGAGAGGTGTAATCTTACCTGTTAGTATAACAATATTTTCATTTTGTAATTTATCCCACTTATCTTACTCTCAATTAAATATATGTAAGATATTATGATTCGAAATATGAACGAGTTTAATCATTTTATACTGAAAAATTTCTATGTACACACACAAAAATTTGTTTATGTACACACACTTTTAAAGTTAATTGTTTGTCTTGAGATACATAAATAAATTTTCATGTTTTTACTGTAATTGTAGAAGTTTCAACATTATTTGTATTATTTCAGTTCATTCCATTATTATTGAGTACTTACTCCACGTGCTGTGAGAATACTTTATTGGTTTTTTCATGAGAGAAAAATTTAATTCTACTCTCGTTGTATTCTATTGTCGCGGTGTGAGGTGTACAGATAGTCGCGTGGAATAAATAACTACTATTATATTATATTACCAATGGATAAATTACTCGACACTTAATCAAAGTAGCTCTATGTCCACCGTGGTTTCGAGACTTATTGTTATGTGATGTTAAGGACAGGTTTCCATGTCGATGGGACTTGCCAACCCTTGTCATGGCTACCGTTTTGTTTCCTATAAATCTCAATTCAAACATGTTATTGAACTAAATTCATTTCCCCAAAACTATCACTCTATCAAACTTGTTGTATTACAGATGTTGCGTGGACATTTACATCTATCGGAGATTGATATATGTATATAGGTTTATTATACATTTTTTATGATAAATAGTTTTTAGTAGAAAAGTTCTTCTAATTATTTAGAAATTATACTCAATTAGATATGGTCTAAGTTGTCATAAAATTTATTATTGTAGGTATATTGGATAAAATATGACGTTAACGTTATACCTTTTGAAATTTAATGATAGTCAAAAATAGATTAAAGTTACCATATATGTTATTTTCAGTCCACTCTTCTAACAAATTATATCAAACGGTTTCTAGATTTTTCGTTTCAGTAACTGGGAAAAATTTATCGTCATTCAATAACCGTTCTCATTATATTTTCTCTCAAATGTATAGCTATATAATTATTTTCTGACAGGATACACGTTATTTGTTAAATGTTTTTATGATCTAATTGTCTACATACAAGAATGCATTTTATTTACATCTGACCGATAAATATGTGTTACTTAAGAAGTATTTAACTCTTTTATATGCATATGATATGGTCAAATAAAATGATAACTTATGAACGTTTTCTAATGAAGGAATAGTGGTTCGAATTGTGTATCACATAGAGTTTATAGTGTAAAATGTTTGATATATTTACAAGAAAGTAATTGAAAAAATTATCACAAATCACTAATATTGATTGGATCTTTGAATTATTTTATTTGAAGCATTATAAAGAAAAATTTTATGCAGTCGCAGAAAAATATTATACTTTTTAGATGTTTTTTTTCTTATAAATAAAAATCGTAACCATTATATATAGCCATAAAATTAAATTAAAAATGAGTTATATTCTTTAATGGTTCATTTCACACCTGGTTGGGGTTTGATAATTTAATTTATCAGTATTTCACGGCTCACTAAGAGTCAAAAATGGTCACAGTTACAGAGTCACGACTGTTTTATCTCATCTCAATAAGTGCGTCGACGTCTCTTAATCGAAATTTTCCTAAAATCAAATAAGTCTTGAAATGGTTAATGATAAACTGCCAGTAAATTTTCTGATTTATACACAGTAAAATAATATATACAATAAATTGATGTTTAGTTTATGTTTTAGGCTGAAATAAAAAAAGAGTGAAAGTTTGTATGCATGCTGAGAATGCAATTTGAATTTACTAAAGAATTTGCGGATTCAATTGAACCCGTTTTGTAAAAATCCTGGTACCATTCAGAATTTCATTAATAAATAGTCCTTACTGTTTTTTTTTAATTTAAGAGAAAGTTTAATATCATGCCAGCTTTATATTACTTTAATTTTATTTTGTCGAACGTACATTATTTTTGTTATATTTTATAATTATATACCTTGAAGTATTTCTGTGAGACTAGTAGCGCCATCTTTTTTTTATTCATGTAATGTATGAGATGTCAATAATGTCAATAAAATGTCAGTCGTTACCATAAAGCGTTTTATAATATTATATATATTAAATTATTATCTATGACATAAAATATAGCAATAATAAGTTAGTAACATATATTATTTATTAAATTTATTATGCAATAAACTAGTTAAATTGGTATTAAATATTGTTGGAATGATGGCCACTAACGGCCGAGCTTCCTATTCCGTTTATTTTACTAAATCATTATTTATAATAAATGGGATTAATGTGAATAATAACTATTAAACACTAAAAATAATGTTAAAAATCAAACATTAAATATTATGAAAATATTGTTAAGATTTTAAAAAGTACTGTTGTTGATTACTAAACGTATATGCCCATAGCTAGATGATTTTTTTCGTCACTGAATTTTTTAACAATATTAATACAACGATGTCAAGAAATTGTATAGATATTCTATAAATAATCAAAAAAAGGAATTGGTAATGAATATTTTGAAATAGATAAACAAATAAAAGTATTACGATAGAAAAGGTACAAAAAGTTTACAATTAATTTCATTATAGCATATGGAATTTCAGTAACAATTTTAATTGTATCCGTGTGGACATGTCCTGGTTTTTGTCTGAATGACATCAGGCCAGTTGCAATAACGTCACCCATTCATTCAACAGCTATTGCTTGTATTAACCATAGAGGGAATGTAAAGAGGGACTTTGTTTAAATACACAGTGATGAAATGAGTTGGCTAAAAGTCACACTAAGTGTTTAGAAGTAAATATTTTATATATTTATAATGTTGGTTTAAAAATTTATTTCACAATTTTGCTTGACTATCTCACAAAAGTGGATTTTTTTACTAACCGTGACATGCAAGTTAATAAAACCAGTCCAATATTAAAATTAATGTAACCTTTTTGTACAAAGGTTGAAAAAATTGTGGAATTTTATAGAAAAAATAATTTAAATTATCTACATAGTGATTTCATTATATTTGAATCGTAATTTGAATCGGTATTATAGATTAAAAAAACAATATGGCTGTAATTAAGATACATATTCAATAATTCTTAACATTGCTTAGATTTTTAAACATAATAATAAAATTAATCATGTTTTCGTTACGTGCACAAATTTAGTGTAGGCTCATAAATATAAATAATACGAGCATGATTAAGAAATATCTTAGAACCCAAACCACATTGAATACAAAAAGAATAATTGAAATGTCTTGAGGTTTGAATGAAATATGAAATGAGATTTTACGACGTATACATAATGTCGCCTGAATAGTTAAATATATATATTATAATTATTTATTAATTTAAAGTAAAATAATATCTTAAATATAGAAGTCGAATAGAAAAATCATCATTTTAAAAGATCTAAGAATTACCATCAAACTTTATCTCGTCTAAACATCTAATAAACAAACCACCATTTATGAGATCTAAAACATTTGCGAGTTTTATTCAATTAAATGAAACCGAGTTAGTTTCATTTAAACCATCATTTAAATGTATAATTTTTTCAAATAAAATGTTTTAAGGAATAAATTATTTTAGGGTAAAACTTTCTTCATCGCTCTTAATATCTGTCATTTTTGTGGGTGGTGTAAGCGTTTTCATGTCACGTATATTTAAGTGATAAGAAAAGAGAAAGTCTTAGATAGGATGAACTTATTTCACCTTTTCGTAGTTATTCCATGCTATTGTTAACTTCTCAAGACATTGCACGGTTCATAAGCTGTTGAATTTTAAAACAGATGAGGTGAATGAACTCTTAATTGATGCCAATGACTGAATGTAAAGAACGAAATTGTCATTTGAATTTCTTGAAAAAGCTTTGAGTTAGAAGTTATGTATTTTCTCGTCCTGAATGGTTTTGTTTACTGAATAAATCAAGCCTTCTTTAATTTTTTACACAAATAAATTGTTATAATAAGTAGATATAAATATATAAGCATATAGGAAAACTGTTGTAATTTAACGGTTACAGGGCAATTATCGCGGGCCACTAATAGTAAGGATGCCCTAATCCGGTCAACTCTTGTTAAGAACTCGTCACATTAATTCTCGTTAGACAGACGTACTGTGTCTATAAGAATAGAGGTTTAAAATTTGCCAGATGTATACAGCAATTATACCATATTATATGAAACCTTCACGGTCGTACTTCTACAAATTTTATCCTATCAAAAGCTATGCCGTAAAATTAAGTCAGTAATTGAGAGATCGGATTTTTTCAGATAAGCCTTTAATCTTTTCCTGTAATTTCTCAAAAAATTATAATATGCAAAAATTGA